GGTTCTTCTATCATCATACAATTAATATTGAGGATGCAATGGTAATATTCTTTTTTTTTGTCTTAACTTCATATTTATATAATGTGCGGTTACAAAAACATCAATCCCATGACTATAGCTAAAATAATATGTTTTTTTTTTTTCAAATTACAGACTACTTGTTATTTTAATATTATAAGAAACTTGGATATTCTATCTTCAACATATATGTAGTCACCAATGTTCATATGGTGTATATTGTTCACACGTGTTCATAAATTATTATCTATATACATCTAAGATTTGGCCACTATGTGTTCATAAGTGGAACACTTTGATCATATATTATTGTGTTCACATTTAAAAGCCAATTACTTTAGTGTTCGTAAGTTTTAATAGGTGCAAATGAGTGTTCATAAGTATTTTCGTATGTTCATATGTGAAAGTCACGAACTAAGATTAGTTAATAAGTTACATATATGTTCATTTGTATTTATAAGTGTTCATAATGCAACACAGATGATTCTACGAATTATAAAAGAAATGAGCAATTACCGATTTGTAACCGATGTAATTAATTAATTATCGATTTGGACATCTCTCCCAAAATGCCCCTATTCACTTATGTTTTGATATCTTCATTTTTAATTAATTACAAATATGGCACAATTGATCTCATCTGTTTTAAGAATCAAGGGCCAAGATTGGTTCACAAAGTTAACACTAATTATTGGGTTAACAAAAGAACCTGCCCCTATATAGATGTATATATATGTATATGTATATATAGGGGGTGAGTTCATTTGTTAGCCCAATATATGGTGTTAACTTTGTGAATCAATCTCATCCATTGATCTTTAAAATTTGTGGCTGAGATTATTCATGACATAAGATGTAAATAATTGAAAATTAAAAGTATTAAGCTCTCAATACAAGTCGTTAGTCCCGTTAGGTTCCATCGTAAAAAAGAATGCTAGATTTGTGATTTTCAGTTTTTGGAAGTCCAAACAACTTCCCATGCGGCCAAAACCGCATGAAAAGTCACCCAAGCCTTTGGGTCGCAAAACGGTCAGGGCACTATTGGGGAACGATTGAGTTTGTGGCCCACGACTTAGGTCACAGGAAAGGTCGTGGGAAGCCTCTACAACATCTTTTAAGCCCTATTTTTAGGGTTTTCCCCAATTTCTGCCTCCATCTTCCCTCCCCTATCTATCTCTTGTATATTTTGGCACTTTTAGGGCATAGTTTGAGGGGTTATGGTGCAAATGGAAGGTTCATCTTGGAGATTGTAGGAGTAAACTTTTGGGTGTTTTGAGTAATATTTGGGGGGTTTTGTCAAGTTGAAGTTTGTAACCATATTTGTTGCATTTTTAGTGTCGGTTGTAACCTAGATAAGGTTTCTGGAGATGTTCTTATGGATTTCAAGTCTCCATTTATGAAGCTAAAACTTTGGGTTCGGAAACTAGGTTTAATCCAATCTAGCAAAATGAGTTCCAAATTAGTTTGTCAAAACATTATACACGTAAAAGAATGTCTTTCTTTGGTGTTCATTTGCCTTTATGAAGGTTTACATGTCTAATTGGTTATTTAACCAACCATTTGAGCATTGGGTCTTGTATTGGATAAATGTTTGGAAAAATGCGTATCACTTGGTTTATTTGACAACCTTAAGTTATAAACGGGATTTATGGTTATTTATTGAGTTTGGGCTACAAAGCAAAGTTAGTGTGAAGTCTACAACTAATTGGTTAGTTATTTGACCCTTTTGGCAATTTACGTATATATTGGTATCAACGTGCAAAAATACATACTTGGAAGTACTTAGATTTTTAAGAAGTAAATCCCATATATTCGAGTCTTTTGTTGATTTACAACCATTTAAATTGTGGTGATTTGAATTAGTCCAACTTTTAGGCTGTCTGTTGTTTACTTGAATAAATAATGCGAATAACTGAATTTATGTGGCTTTTTGAGATGCAAATCACGAGAATATGATTTTGTGATTTTTTTTATAGATTATGATGGCTATCGAGCACAATTACTCATTCCCATTAATATAAGTGTTTAAAGATTGAGGAAACGTGTCTTTAGTTAACTCCTATTGATTGTTATTGATGTGGTTTATAAGTTGTGAATTTCGGTTAATTGAACCTTGTTTAATTGAGCTTGGAAATATGTCAAACTCCACTAGTTGAACAATTATATCTGAACGTCAAAGTGTATATGTTGCATAATTACTTGGGGTTTTGCCCAACTTTCGATTGTTCATTATTACTTGGACATTTAAAGCACATGTTTGAATAATTACTTGGAAACACATGTCATTTGGACTTAATTGTTCTACTAAGTTTAAATCATGAAAATATTGATTTTATTGATTTGAATCCATGTACACGAGGATTGATTATTTGATCAAGAGAGAATACTTGATGTTCTCTTTAAATCACTGGTTTGAATGAAGTGAGGAGTTTTGATGTTCTCATCTTGAAACATTTGATTATGTCAAGAGACGAATTTTGATGTTCTCGTCTTGAAGGCATTGTGTTCAATCAAGTGAGAAGTTTTGATATTCTCAACTTGGGCTCTTTGGTTATGGCAAGTGAGGAGTTTTGATATTCTCACTTGGATTCTTGGTTTGAATCAAATGAGGAGTTTTGATGTTATCATCGTGAAACCTTGAAGAGTAAGCACTAACGTCGTTTCATGACCTTGACGTGAAACTTACAACGCTGATACGTGACTTACTTTGTGTTCCATCACATTATTTACTGGAAACAAATCTCCCTATCACCAGAAGATGTTATTTGGTATTTTAAAAATGGTGTAATTTGGAAAGATGTTGTCTTGAAATGTTTGAACTTACTAGGTTTGAAGCCTCACATTTTTTTCTCGTAGACATGTGTACCCGATCCTTGTGGGTAGGGGTGCTCAAAAACCCGATCAATCCAAACCCAACCCAATGCGATATAACTCAACCCGAAGCAACCCAATTTCTAATCGAGTTGTAAAATTTTCAAACCGTAGGTATTTGGTTGATATTGAGTTACTATTATTTGAACCAAACCCAACCCGATGAACCTGATATCCTTTTATTTCTTGGATTTAATATGATTGTTGAGTTTATGTTAAATATACATTAGACAATTACACTATCACGTACGCTCTTCATATATACATGTTTCCAATCTATTCTCCATCTCCATATATACATGTTTCCAATCTATTCTCCATCTCCATATCACTCATTCGTATATATGTTCAGTAACATGAACATATATATGTAAATTGAAAAAATTAATTGAATGTGATATATGTAAGAAGTATGGATAAAATGTATCAAATGATTGATGATGAAAAAGAAATTATGAATAGACAAATAACATATTTAAGATTAGAAAAATATTTTGATGCACCAAAGTATCAACCCGACTAACCCGATAACCCGTACGGTTTGAGTTCGGTTGTGTTAAGATTTTTCAAACCGCAAGCATTAGGTTGAGTTGTTCAAATGTCTTCAACCCAATCAACCCAACCCATGAGCGTCCCTACTTGTGGGAGTGGGTGCGGTATTAGTAAAAAAATCGAGTTCTAGTTAGAGGCCCATAAAGAACTTAGCTTTTTAGAGTATTTTCCTAACCATTATTTTAAGAGGTATATAAAATTAGTCGAGTTGTTTGTAGCGGAATGATGTCCCCACGAATATAAAAGGAAAAAAAATTCACATATTTCCACATGGTTGTTTTGATTTTTAATTTTTTAAATACATATATAGAATTTTAAAGAAAAAGCATTGATCCACGTGGTTAGCACCAGGAACTCCAATTAATTAATTTTCCATTTAAATTGAAACAAATACAAATTTAAACTCCAATTTTCAGATCTAATAGTAATAAATAAATTAATAAAGACGTGATTTTCTTGCATCTTTGCATATAAATTTATCTCGCTTAAGGTGTCGTTTATCAAACACTTATTCAGTAAGCATTTATTGGTAAAATTCAATACTATTATTTATTTAACAGGTAAGATTTTAGTCAACAAAAATGGCTTCTATGGAACAATTTATCGGTAAGAGCTGACCGTGGTAAGAGTCATTGTTCTCACTTACCGGGTAAGACTCACAGTCTTTGCTTCGTTCTTACCAAGTAGAATTTTTGATCCTTACCATATTCATCAGGTTATATAATTTGGTAAATGCTTACCCAAATAAGCATTTTGCAAACCACCCCTAAGATTAACATTTACTAACTACCATGATTACCACATTTTTAATTTAAATTATTCTTAAAAGTAATGTTATAGAATATTTCCCCTTTTTTCTTTGACCAGACGTCTCTGGGCTAATTTGTTCACGTCTTGACTAATCCCAGAAGCCTTAAACAGCAACCAGAGAAATATCCAGTGATTTTATAGGATTCGGGTAAACTCATCTCCAAAAGGTGATCTTGTTACCCATTTAAATTTGTTTTATGTAAGTGCATATAAAAGTACAATTAAACCCTTCAGATAAAAAATATATATATATTAGAAAATACAAAGAACATCAACCAGAAAACCAAAAATGTACCTTCGAGTCCCTCAAAACAGTGCAATTCGACTAAAAAAATAACAGACGACTTTACGAGTCTTTGATCCACCTTAAAGATCTTGATTCAACCGTTACGTATCCCAAGATAAGATATAAAGGTATCTACAAGTAAAAGGACCAGAAATGACAATTAGAAATCTTGACTCCAAGGTGTCAGGGGCTCAACTTAACCGACAAACCGACTCACAATTTCTTTATTCAATAAAAAGAGGGGAGATCTGGGAATAACACAAAAGATCACGGGCACCAAATGAAAATAACAGAAACTTAATATTTTTGCCCATTTCCCATGCTTATTATTCTCTTCACTGCTGACACCAGAATCTTTCTTTATAAACACACACATACCCAGGTGTTTTTGTGTGTGTTTCTTCTCTCTGCATGTTTACCATTCACAAAATAAAATAAGAAAGCAGCTTTCAGTTGAAAGAAGATGAAGACCTCAAATTCATCTCAAGATCATAAACAGCCACAAACAGAAACAGAAAATGACAACAATTTCAACAAATCTCTTCAAGTATGTAACAAATCTCTTCATAATTTGATTGCTGTTACCTGTTTATCTTGTTTTCAATTTTTGATTCCTTTTTTGTTGCAGGATCTAAAGGATTTGTGCTCACAGCTTCATTTTGCAGCAGATTCCTATCAATCCACTTTCTTGAATTCTAACCAAAAGCAACTGTGAGTAATTAGACTCCATTTATTACTTCATGGCTCAAACTTAAGATAATTCTGGTAAAAATTTAAGAAAAGTAGACATAAAAATCTATATGAGAATTTGAAACCCGTTATTCAAATCCTCAAAACTCGATCTTGTGGCATTTGCAGAGTTGTAAAGAACACGAAGGAGTACGTACGTAATGCTCTGGTGACGATGGTGGATCATCTAGGATCTGTTTCAGCTAATCTTGATCAGCATTTGTCTAAAGCTGGTTCAATCTATCAAACACAAGTCAAAATCAATTTTCTGAATCAAGTACTGGGTTGTGTAAATTACATTTTTTTAAATACATGTTTTTTTATATGTTTAAATTCAATTTAAATTTTCATATACCAAATAGAAATTGCTGACCTGCCAAGACTATTCTCACAAGATTGCTGTAGCCAAAGTGTCCTGCAGGGAGGATTATCTGAAATATAACTCTCGCTATATAAAACCACGTAAGATTTTACCTTTTCTGTTTTTTGTGTTTTGTTTTCTTCTTCTTCTGCAAAGGTGTTCATCTTTTTACCTGCTAAGCTAAAGTTGATGACTTTTATGTGTGTCTTGTTCTGAATCAGCTGTCTCCAATGTTCTGAAACTGAATCAAAGCTTCAGGTATCAGTTTTGTTACGTTAGAAAAATGTTTTGGCTTTACTAACAAATTAAAGGATATGTATGTATCAGATTCCTGACATTCTATGTGTTTTTGCATGCAAAAACTAGGAATAGAGATGATGAATTTAAGGTAGATGAAGAAGTACCGCTTTTCTTGTATACTTGCAACCGTTACAAGCCATCGTTGCTGCTTGAGAGTTCAACGTCCGTTCCAGGTATCTACGAAACCTTAAACAAACCCATGTTTCTTTACGTCGTTAAGCTTGTGGACCCGAGCGCATCGATCATGCGAGAGGCAAATAAGGTAGGTAGCTTGGCTTGAGAGCCTAGTGCCCCACTAAGGAGCCCAATCCCACACTACTATAGTATGGAAACAACTTTTTTCCGCTCTGGGAGCGATTTCTTTATGTTAATGTTCTTATTCAGAATGTTCAATTGTCGTATTCTTTTTTGTTTCTTTTGTCAGTTTTGGCGGTTCGAGATAAGCTGTCTGTTCAGTCAAAGCCTCAATCTTTTCAGTTACTGGTGATTTATGTTTCCCTAACCTCTTTTAGGACATCATGAGAATCACGAAACAGATGAGTTACAGTTGAATTCTTTCCCATTTTTTGCAGAACAAGGGAAAGAGTAGACGGGGTATGTTGTTCACAAAGTCACGAAGAAATAACGAAATATTGTCAGTAGACGGTAGCCAAAGAATATGATTATTAACTTATCGTGTTGCAAGTTTTAGAATAAGGTAACATGTTTTTGAGCATAAAACAAGTTTTTATGATCTTCATGAATAGAATGCATTCTAAACTCTACTCTGAAATGTGTTAAACTCAAGCACCTAACAAGTTAAACCAAGAAAAAGAAGATAGTTTTGTGCCCTTGTTAGTCAAGTGGCCGTGTGGCTCGGAAAGATCTTTTTTTAAGTATATAATATTTATATACGGCAAATAAAACATTTAAACTCACTCACACTCCTCACCTTTGGTGAGGTTTGAACCCTTGACCTCCTAGGAGGCCAAAGGCTCACATACCGCTAAGCCAAAGATCCTTTGGTCTCGGAAAGATCTTTCCATGACAAAGAGTAACCTTATCGGTTGTTTCAAAACATCAGTTGCTTAAAAAGCTGACCCATTAAATCCCATCCGAGAGTAGGATATTACCTCAATGTTTCCGTGAAGACCGCCAGCTTGTGCGAGAGAGTGCTTCAAAAAACAATCGTTCAATAACAAGAAATCAAATAATACAAAGAGGCAACTAGAAAAAAGGTTACTCAGAAAAAATCACTCCAAAATTTCATAATTCTTTCATCTATATATTTGCAATAATGTGGCTCATGTAAAACAAATCTTTTGCCAACAAGCTCTATGTTCATGAGTAAAAAAGAATCTCAGTGAAGAAATGCTGGTAGTTTATCCAATTTGTGTGTGCGCAGTCCCACATTGGTTAGAAATTAGTTATCGAGTGTTTCCTTCTTCGGCGCCTTCTCTGTCTGATTCTCCATAAACTAGTTAGGAGCAAAATCCCTGGAAAAACAAACAGTTAGGTTAACAGCAGCTGAAGCTCATCATTTCTCATAAATGAGGTTTACTCACCAGAAACAGCAATGACGCAAGGAACAAGCCAGTGACTTGGAAATACCATAGGCTGCAAATACAATCCATTTGTTCGGTTAGTATCCATTAGTTTTTCCCCCTTTCTGTTTGTGTTTCCGTTGGGTGGGTCACAAAACAAAAATAAAGAATAAAAAGAAGACGAATGGGGTTTTCAATGATGATTATAAGGACTTGGCAAATTACCAAATTTGGTGTTCTATGGTTTTGATATACATACTGGTAGGATTACTAAAACATAATTCAGCAGCTAGTATTCCCTCTGTTCCATGAGTATTGCAACATTTGACTGGGCATATAATTTTAATATTCTTAAATGTCTTCTTCATGGTATAAAATCCCCAGAGTAATGACAGAGCCCTGACAAAGGCATCCTAATAGATTCCTAACAAAAAGTTGGGCCTACAAGTTTAGTGCCCTGTGGATCACAACCAATAGCATGACGATGATTGATGGACAAATGGGTAATTCTAGACTGAAGAAGGAAATCTTGCAATTATAACCGGATTTCTTAGAATATAAATTGTTGCAGTTTTCATGAGATATAATTTCAGATTCATTTGAGCCAAGTTTGAGTTTCTTACCTCGTCTGTATACAGAAAGCCGAAGAATTTGTTGCCAGAAAAACTCTCCTTGTTCTTGTTGATGGGTTTGAAACCCTTTCGAACAAAGATATCAGCTGAAGAGTTTAGGCCACTACCCAAATCAATAGCATGATGCCCTGGCAATCTATGGTTCCTTCCTCTGACCTGCAAGCCATACCCCTTTGTCCCCCATACATCAAACCTGGAGTCTTTCTGACAAATCAATTCATTTCCAATTACTGCAGAATATGCTGAGAAATTAAAATCGGTTCGACGAGTGGGCAACTGGTTGTCATTCTGATGCAATGGCTGTTTCTGTTTGACTGAATCTGAGAATAGCACAGGATCTTTGATATTTCTGCCAGTAAAATCTAACATTTTCTGCAGAAGCCAGTAACAATCGGTAACCATATGGCTGCTGTCCAAACAGTTGGAATCCCCATATACAGCAATTCGACCTTCTCCCACCTCCACTAGGCCAAGAATAGCTGAATCTGCCTGCTATACTTTGCATATACTATACTATAAGTTCATAAATCTAGCAGTAGTGTATCTGAAAGATAAAAAAGATGTGTTTCCATACCTTATCTCTGGGCCCATTTCCTGCTCTATCAAACAAAGGGAAGCTGTGTACATATCCACCTCTGGGAAATTTCACGATGTTAGACCCAGATGCATATCTGCTCCAATCATAGTTTAGTTTAAAGTCGCCATTCAGAATCCTATCTCCAAAAGCAATCCCATATGGGGCCAACAGATCATTCAATGCAGGGATATTCGCTCCACCAGTAACCGGAGTCCACCAGCTTCGCGTGTTGTCATCAAAAAATCTCATCTTTGCCATCGTGTTAACATTATACCAATCAGCAAATACCACCAAACTTAATCCACTAATTACGACATCATCCATCAGCTTTCGTATCTCCTCTTCAAAATATTCATCTTCAAGATCCACCAGCAAGAGTGTCCCATACTGGTAAGCATCGAAGCATGTCAGAGGTGAACCAAGTGTTTCTAAAAAATATCCAGCGTCTCTTAATGTATTGAACATAATATGGAAATTGGTGTGTAGATGGTCACCATGCCAGTCAAGAATGTCATTATGAACTTGCAATGAGTCTCTTGGAACGTAACCGGGAGGGTATTTGATATTATGGAATTGATCCCATAAAACTCGCATTGATCTTGGAGGGGTGGGGACCACCTTTAATTTCAAGTGCAGCACACATGTACTCTGTCGAACGGTCTTCTCCCCTAATGCAGGAGGGCTGTACACATTCACCACAACATCGCCCACAATCTCTCCAGAAAACTGAGTTCCTTCTTCCTTGATTTGCATGTGCAATGCAAGATACCCGGTCCATGGCCAAATAACATCCGAATAAGTGAAGTGAATACTAAGAAGATTACCTTCCTCATTTGATGGATGCCATGTTGGAGGGCCTTCAATGTAGCCAATAACACCCATCCCATTCAATATGGTAGTGTTAAAAAGAACAGGCATGGCACCCGCGTAGAGAGGCTGTTGGCAGAAAGGCCAGGAATAGGGGCAGTCTGCATAATCAAGAACACTAGGGAAGATGGTTGCTCGAGGCTTGTAGCTCTTCAGGATTTCATATGATTCTAACCTGGTTGGATATTCGAAGATTACAAGTCTCAACAAGATGATTTACTTCCAAAAATAAACTTGTTGCTATTCTCATGATACACCGATATGGGGTTGCCTATCAATTTCACTTGATTCAGGAAGAGGTTGATACGATTGTTTCTAGAATTTATATTAATGGGGCTCTTGAGTCCAAGAATATACTCTAGACAAAATAAATTGATCAACATAAAAGCAAAATAATAAATTAACTCACAAATTAACCCTGCCAGCACCCTGCTCATACATATTAGGACCAGAAAGCTTGACAGCGCCCTCAACCAAGGCTTGTTTCATGCTTGCTGGGTTCAAGATGTGCTTTCGTGCACTTTCAGGGATGACACTAACCAGGAGGCACACTACACCAGCAACCACAGGACTTGCCACACTAGTTCCTGATAGAGTTCTACAACCTGTTCCAATCTCGGATCCCTTGATGTCCCGTCCATAGGCAACAATGTCTGGTTTTACACGTCCATAGCTGCAAGGGTGAAAATTTGTGGCCACTAATATTAGAATTCTATCAGGTAGAAAAGCAGATGCAAGGTTAAAATGGAACTATTTGATACTTCCCTAAAAACTACCATAATTTCAAGGCATCAATTCCCTTGGCATGTTAAATAAATTTAAGGTGGTAGTTCAACAAGTAGTAGATCTGGATAACATAACTAAAAAACAAAAAGGATACTTTGAGCAGATGATTTACCCATGAGGGATCTCCCAAGTACTCATGCCACGGGATGAAAAGGAGGCAATGTTAGAATTGTAATCTATACCACCAACGCCAATAACATCACTTTGATCAGCTGGATTGTTTAGAGTACCATAAAATGGCCCATCATTTCCGATTGCAGAGACCATTATAATATTGCTTGCTGTCAATTCCCACACCTGAAAATTATTTCGGGGATATGGGTGGATACATACATCAATACACTGACTATCAAAGACGACAACATAACAACAAACCTTAACAACGTCCCATTTACATTCTGAAACAAAAAAGAAAGACATTTGCTGACACAAGTATCCAACATCAGGAAAGTAGGATTCTGGAAGATGGTATGATAAGAATCCGTCTACAGGAAAGTAACATCTCATCTACACAAAGGGAAAGAAGGTGTATGGGGTAGATGAAGATGGGAACCCACTCATGGCAAAAACGAGGGGAATGATTTAGATAAACCTGAAGTGAGGGAGCTGCTGCCATTCTCCGGCAACCTTGAGTGATTTATATGCGATTTTGGGCCGGACATTGCTGAGTTTTCATTGGCTGCAATTAGTAAATCTGGTGAAAACGAATCTATTCTCATTGGGGAATCTAGGTTTTTTCTCATGGTTATTGAGAGCTTCTTCAGCCAATGCTGACAACTCCTAGGTGGATTGTTCCTAATGGAGTTGGTGTATCGAGTATTTGTGTTGAGGTAGTTGCTCATTATGAACCTGCCACCCTAACAGCAACTGCAACCATTTGTCCTGCTCTTTTACTTCATCCTCTAACAACCATGGAGGAGCATATTAATGGAGGCCTTCCTGTTTTAGATCCTTATACTAGAAACTACCATAATTATCACCCTACTGTTAATCTGAGTGCCACACAAGGGCTTTTTTGAACTCTTAGAAGTACCGCCATGGATTCTAGATGCTTTTAATGTTCAGTCGGTAGACTTGCTTAGAGAAGCAGAAAACTATTCATCTGGGAGGAATTGGATGCGTTTGCACTTCTTGGGTGCAATTGGAACAAGAATGTCTATGAGCAGTGGTATTGCAGCACATTCGGTAGTCATTTTACTTATCCAGACATTCACACATCCTGCTTGGGTTTTCTTTCTTCTTAGACAAGTAGAAGAAATTGAAGTCCAACATGAACCTATGATTGGCTATGTTTCAGGCCATGTGAAGCATAGGCCTCAAGCTCACAAACAGAGTCAAATGCTAGTGGTTATGGCAACAGTCAAAGCTACTGCCAAGGTTCATAAAAAATTTGCTGCACCCCCTTTGCAACCTCCTCTTTTATCATGGGACCTATACATTATCTCCTCAAGGTTCGGGAATATTGTCTTCATGAAAGTATGAAGTACAACTTCATGGGGGTAAGGAATCAAGGGGTGAAGATAGTTTTCCTCATATGAGCAAGGATAGAGCAACATCGTCCAGAAAGCACGGGAACTTGGGGGCAAGAAGTAAAAAAAGCAAGGGCCCATTATAGTTTTCGGTTCATATATTATAGCAAGAGTTTGTACTTTTGGCAGTGAATTTCAGCTCTTTAGTTTGATGTCGGGAGAAAGTATTCATTCAAATTTGTAGGATGTACAGGATGTTGTAGAACCTAATAAGACAACTAAATCTTCCAAGGGGTTCCTGAATAGTTTGGAGTTTGTGTTTGGGATTCAGTTAATCGAATTGTTTTGTTTATTTACCAAGGAAAGGCAGACTGAGTGGGAGGAAGTAGCATAAAGTTGTATCATGCCTATATACAGGCGTCTTCTCATTAAGTACAAATAAGATAATATTGTTCTTCACATTGCATGAAGAGTGATACGTATGCACAACATCATGAAAGTTGTATTTAAATTTCAGCTTGAATGCTAATTAAGTCGACTACAAATGATACAGGCAGAGGCAGTATCCATGCAATATTCTGATAAGTTGTCCCCATCCTATACAAGAAGTAGCTTGGTGACCTTGCAACAAGTATACACAATATTAAGTTTATATGTGTTCCAAGGGATATAGCCACTCACCTTCTCGACAAACGGAATATCTAAGTAATCAGGACCACCAATGCTCAAATTCAAAACATCCATATTGGTCGCGATTGCATAATTGAATGCATCTAGAAACCACGATGTGTATGAAACCTGCAGTAAGCTGAATAAAAACTTATCACTCTTAACAAAGTCATGGAACTTGATTCAAAATTAGAAATAAAGCACATCCAGATAGATGTCATCATGTGCTATACTGCTATTTTAACTCAAAATTTCGTAATGACCTCAAAGCTTTCGTCCATTAAAAAAAAATAGCAGCTTGCCATCTTCCACATTAACCAGCATCAGTAATTCACACATTACCAAGTTTCTAAATGGCGTGAGGCATGGCGGCGAGGCCATGGCGTTTTTCAAGGAGTGAAGTATGGCAGCAATCTCTATATCATATATAATTATATGCATATAGACAAATGTTTTCTACTATTACTCAATGAGTCAATGATAATAAACAATTTAAATTAAGTTATGTATTAAAAACTAACAAATAAGACATTGAAAAGGTAAGAAAAATCAAATATCATGTTACAAGAATCGCACATTAGGTCATGGCATGCACAGGCTTAACGTGACGTGAGGCACAAAACTTGAACCACAGCGCACCATGGCGGCGAGCCTTTTTGAACAGTGCACATTACACAGAAAAGAAGGCTGCTAATATCTTCCGGATACAAGACTACACAAAGCTAAAATGCCTATTGCTTTGGAGAATTTAAAAGGCCGTAAGAGTGGCAACCCCAGCATTGGAGATAATTTTTTTGAGAAACTGTACTATATGCATTACCTGTGCATCGGTAAACACACGGAAAGCATAGATCTCCGTGTCTGGTGCAAAACCAAGACATTCTGCATCTTCCCCAGCAATGACTCCAGCAACAAATGTTCCATGTCCAAGATTGTCATTTAGTGAATCCTCATTGGTCCAATTTGTGCGTTCCTGAAATTGTGAAAAACAAAAAGATATTATATGCTAACAAAGAAAGTTACAAAGTCCACCAACTAATCACAGTTCCATTCAAGCAGTAATGCCAACAATACCTTGATATTCCGGAAATGAGGATGATCAGAACGAATTCCAGTATCAAATATAGCCATCTTTACTTTTGCCCCAGTGTACCCTTTTGACCAAAGTGCATCTGCTCCAAACAAGGACGTAACTTGAGATTTCTGCATGAAAAGTACAGAAATCACACCATGCATGCCATGAACAAGCTTGGATGAAAACCATTAAGAGAACTAATGCTTTCAAGCTGCAACGACAGTTAACAGATGTTGCCTTATTTTATATCTGTTGTTATGTTAAAAAGTGGGAATAACATACAACAGAAGCACCTCAAGAGGAGTTGCAAACAAATGCACATTAAACAATAGAAAGGAACAGCCTCCACAAGGGCCTATAAGAAAATGACAAGAAAAATGATACTAGGAATTATCCTCCTTAATTCCCATTGACCAGCTCTACTCAGCAACAAAGATAAAGAGGATATACCATCTGATATTTATAACAAAACCAAGTTCATAAGGTGACCATGCAAATAAAAAGGTTCCTACAAGACCTGGGATTGAAAGAGAAGGAATACATAGTGTATTGTGATCACGAGAATGTAATATATCTATGTAAGAATTTTGGCCTATCACAAGAGAGAACACATAAAAACAAGGTATCATTGTATCTGAGAAGCATTCAATGAAAAAAATGCCATGTTGAAATATTCATTTTGAAGAGAAAGTTTGTTTATATGTTGGCGACGCCTCTACCAAAGGGAAGCATGACGTGTGCAACGGAATTTCAGATTTGATGAAACCTCCCCTCGAGTCAAGACACCGAGAGATTTGTTTGGTTTTGGTCCCGTTTCAATTAAATCATTTGGGGCTGTTTGGCAGTTGTTGAATTGTTTGGTGCAGAATGATTAAGTGGTCACAATGATTAAGAGGCTCTCATGATATAGTGCAAAATGAAATATAATTGTTCGGTAATTGTTTACAATGAAATTAGGGTGCGGAATAGTTAAGGGAGACCCAGGATACAAAATCATTCAGAAGGTTTTAGAACCATTAAGAGACAGACTTTTTTTGGCCAAACAAGATTCACATCTTTACGATTCAGAGACTGCCTCTTAATTGAACTATTAAGAGGTAAACAAACAGCCTGTGAGGTGCATTTAGCTTCTCAGTAGGCAACCATGAGGTGCATTTAGCTTTGCAAAAAATTAAGCTACAATGCTATCTTCTTGGGCATAGCAACAGCTGATATAGCATATCACAAGAAGCAATATCATATTTGCAAGGGAAAAGAAAGATCAAAAGTACGAATAGGAGAAAGGCAGGAAACCCTGTTGAGGTGATCTTTATATTTGAGATTAGTGTATCTCGTCTGTGACCTTATGTTGGCTTGTGTACCCCAGTACAAGAGTGAGCCTACAGGTGTTACTGAATTGTCTATACTCAGTTTTAAAGAAAATGTTCAGTAATTGTGTATGGTATGCTGGTTTGTTGCATACCTGCTTTTTATGCAAGAACTTGGTGGATCACATTTGTTATAGTGGAAGTTTATCTGGACTAGGATTAGGTTTTTCCCGTTATGGGTTTTCAACATAAGAAAATTATGTGTGTTTGTGGTTTGATTGTTTATTTTTTTATTTAATTTGACATAAAATGGTAATAGATTGTTTTCGCCTGGGTGTAATGCTCTCTTTCCCAGCAGGTAATCACTACCATAATAGTCCATTTAACCTCATCAATATTCTCATTCGTTCAATCACTGTGCACATGCTCCAATATTTGTCTTCCTGATAGCAGATCTTTACTATCATCCTCTTCTTACTTCATCAACTGTAGTTAATAAGAAAATCACTATTTATTGCATACAAACACAAGCTTAATTGTCCGCTTTCTCTCAATCGTAGATCTTTAGGGCTTACCCATCACAAATACTTCCATGAAAGGTGTAAACTTCCCCATGTGTGACCCATGTAGTCTTTCTCCTGTCATGCTACACTCCATCTACTTTTATAACTTCATATTGGCATCATTTCCAATATACTCCAATTTGTTCACCAGAAAACCTTAGTCAAAAGTTACACATTTCATTTCACTTATCTTCCTCGAATTCCTTAGTCAATAACAGCAACACAGATTCAAAATTCTAATCTGCATTTGTTAGTTATACAAACAATGATTAAACTAACAACCAGCACCTGATTACATAAACGCTTTTTGGTATTTACCTGAGATAAAAGCTGTCGTGTCCACTCAATCGTCTGGTTACTAGTCACCGCTGCAGCTACGTATTCGTCACCATCAGTAAACGACATTGACGTAAAGATCTTCCCAGGCCGCTTCCTCCCGTCTACAAACGCCCCAACTCGTTCATACCTTCTCGTCTTCATTCCACCAAGCAAGTTTCTTAAACGATAACTGGAATCAACCCTAACATCTTTCACCATCTCCAGCCTCTCAAACTTGTTAATAACCGAATCAACCGCATCATCGTCGATCGCCACGACTCCAAAATCCGTCGGAAACTTAGAAGCAGGGTTGTTTCTGTCAATCCATTCCCAAGAACACGAGTCGTATGATGCTTTCTTAGCGTTTTGCTGAAGATACGTCTTGTGGTCTTCCGCTTTTCTGTATTGGATGAATCTAACAATGTAGTTGTTGCGAGTAAGGAGTGATTGTTGTAGTGATTGTGAAGATCTTGGGGGGTTATTGAAGCGGTAAAGGAAGATTGAGATGAACAGGAAGATGAGTGAGAGATTGAATTTGGGGGTAAGGATCTTGATCATGATGTTGCCGGAATTTGATTGATTTGGCGGGAAAGATACCTCATTGAAATTGATAGCGAATAACTTCATTGAAGATCAACAATCTGTAACTCCATGGAATTTCTTCAATGCCTGTAACTGTAAACGAAGACGATTGGTTTGAAAATTGGAATTTGTATCATATATAAGTATTTGGTCCAGGGGTGTTATAAAAACAGTTGAGCGGTATGATGGTTTGGTCGGGTTTGACAAATAGCAAAACTTCTGGAAATTTTTTTTTCTTTTTTTTCTTTTTTTATGGTTTGGACTAAATCGACCGTCAAATACATATATATATATATATATAGTATTATTTATGAAGTCGTAGATTTTGTTACTCAATACTTACAGTAGAGTTGTAACTAGGGGTGCTCAAAAACTCGACCAATCCGATCAACCCGATGAACCCAACCCAATCTAACGCAAAATAACTCAACCCGAAGCAACCCGATGTCTAGTTGAGTTGTAAAATTTTCAAACCGCAGGTATTGGGTTGATATTGGGTTACTATTATTTGAACCCAACCCAACCCTATGAACCCGATATCCTATTATTTATTGGATTTAATATGATTGTTGAATTTCTATTAATATGTGCATTAGACAATAATACTATCACGTACGYTCTTCATATACACATCTTTTCAATCTATTCATATCTCTATATAAACTCATTCGTATATATGTTCAGTAATTTTAAACATATATACGTAAATTGAGAAAATTAACTGAATGTGATATACTTAAGAAATATGTACAAGTTATATCAAATGGTTGATGTTGAAAATAAATTATAAGTAGAGAAATAACATATTCAAGGTTAAAAGAATATTTTAATATACCAAAATATCAACCCGACCAACCCGTATGGTTTGGGTTGGGTTGGGTTAATTATTTTCAAACCGCAAGCATTGGGTTGGGTTGATCAAATGTCTTCAATCAGATCAACCCAACCCATGAGCACCCCTACTTGTAACTTTGTTAATTTGTTTGTTTTCTATTATATATTATATATTTATTTGTTTGGACTTTGAATTGCTTGGATTTTAGACTCAAGAGCTGCTTAATTATTACATTTATTTGTTTGAATATTTTGTTTTGTAAAAATGGATATTTAATCTAAAATTCTAAATTATATATGTTTTTTAAGTTTAATATTTAAAGTCCATTAAAGGTCCAAACCGCCTAAACCGGTCAGACCTGTCCATTTTTTTGTGGTCTGGTTTGACCGGTCTGGGCACTTGATGTCAAACCGCTCGATTTGAAAATTTTATAAACCGTCATTGTGGTTTGGTTTGTGGTATGAGGAGTTAAACCACCTAAACCGGACCACGAACACCCCTAACTTGGTTAATCACTACAATATGAATGGTGATAGTTTTAATTGTCTTACATTATTAGAATATGTATATATAAATAAGATTAAATGATCAAATTTTATTAAATGAAGGGTAGATGGTATGTAAGGTTAGAGTTAAATATTCACCTCTTTATACAACATCACAACCGGTCTTCTATTTGACATCCGAATGCACGTACAACCCATGAAGTTCATCGTCATCTCTGAGTCCCCACGTTTCACCCTCTCCTAAATCGCCGATGTAGGGATCAGCACCACCTCCGTCCTTCTCTTCCTCGGTGCCACAGGCCTCATGTCCTTCCCCTACGATTCATCCCTCTTCCAATAGTCTGCAGCGTACAACTCTCTGAAGGCCTCTCGTTCGCCTTCCCCGCCATTAAATACGTTCGATATAATCAAGATTTCGCCGGAAACAAACAACGCGACCCAATCATGGCTAGGCTTCGACGAGCTTATTGCAACGCTTTCTTCAATCACATTCCTAATCATCACCATCGGCTCAAGAGACACCTATCAGAACACCGAACTAGTTGCCGGAAAACGACGGTTCAAATCGTAATTATATATATAGTTCATATGTGAATCATTCGGGTTCACATATATACATAAACTAGTGTTTGACATCGCGCGTTGCGCAATGACTATAATTTTTTTAAAATTATTTAAGTTAGTTAAATGAGTCGATGATCACGTTTATATACATGAAATTAATAATAATCAATAATTAAATTGATATATGAATCTATCTTATCATTATTGATTATTTTATATATATATATATATATATATTAATAAGTCTTATATATCAATCTTTTATTATATCAAACTTTGTAATTGATTCAAAATCATAAAAAAAATGTGAAAGTACTTATTTATAATGATGAGGTGTATTATGAGAATTGTTTTGTACATATCAATTTATCTCCTACATATATTGTCATTGAATATTTATATTCATCAAGCAAACATTGTGTTGTTACCTACTTTGATATAATTGTTGAATATTTTTATAATTTGCTCATATTAGTCATAATATACTCATTTGCATCATTGACCAAAAACCT